ACATCCCAGGCTCTCAGACAGAGATCTTTCACCCGCTACCCAATCCTTTTAACTGGAGGTGCCATAAATTGAACCTTGGACCTTCTGCATGTGAATGAGATGCTCTACTACTGAGCCACAGCCCCACCACAAGATCTAAAGATTGGGAGCAGAAAGGAAAGAGTAGAGAAGCCAATAATGGCACAAAAAGGAATAAGAAATAAAAGATGAGGAAAACAAACTAAGCAAGGCAGTGCAAATTGAGGACACAGGAGAAACAGGAACAGTTTAGGGTCCAATCAAATACAAGTACATGAAAGGCAGAAAAAATAATAAAGTGGTTGAGCAGTTTGAAGCAGAGACCTATAGAAAAGGGGGGGGGGCGATTTCCCTGCAGTGTTTTGGGGAAGGTATCAGCTTTTGCAACTGTGGACAACTAGGTACTGTCTCAAATAAACTGCTAATAAGTATTTGCATCCAGCTTGCCAATCGGTAGAAAAAAAACAAGACAAGACTGACATATGCATCCCATTACAATAAACATTATTTTCTCACGAACTCACACTTTGTGGGTTGGCTGCAATCGGATGATCGTTCCATCTGGCCTCCTGATCCCAGGGTCCATGTACTCTGGACAGAAAATAAGTTGGCCTTTAAGACTCTCACTGATATTGCTATGCCTTTTTGTAGTATGATAGCAGCAGCTATAACACTAAATTTGGCTCCACAGAGAAGAAAAGAGAACTAAAACACTTCAGCCACTCTGTCAGTGCAATACAATAAAGAAAGTTATCATGAACCCTAATTCCAAAACTCATGATAGACCAAAAAGCAGATGCATCATTATCATTAACTGCTATAATCAGCCAGCACTCAGGAATGAATCAATGTTTGTGATGTTGTAACAAAGATTTATAATCCTTTTTAAAAGCCAAGAGCATACCCAGCGACACAGGATCATTTTTCTTTTTGAAGTTCTTGGCTTTTTGTAAAAGCTCTTTTTTAGTCAGTTTACATTCCCTATCAAACCACAGGATAGCAACAGCTAACTACTTTCTACCAGAAACTAAATCTGCCCATATAGTTCTTTTGAATATAGTTACACATCCTCAATGCTTTTTTTTTTTTAAAGAGGACAGGAGGAATAAATGAGAAATATCCCTTACTGCTCATGCTCCTTAGGTGTGCTACAGTCGGAGAAGTTGGAGAGGTGATCACTGTCTTCCAGCATATCATGGGGAAGGTCTGTCAGCAGTTTCTGCAACTGAAACAAGAACTGTAGCTATTAGCACAGGCTACATGTCCATTACATACAGCACCAGAAGGGTCTTCAGTGTCTTAACACAGAGAAATTGATGGGAGGGGGTGTCAGGGGGGAGCAAATTACATTTGTTCTACAGAACCCCGTGCCCTTAGTTACTGGGAAGCTATTTCCCTCCCCTTCCCGTTTCTGAAATATTTTATTTATTTACTTCATTTATAGTCCACTTTTCTTGCTAATACGCGAAGTGGATTTACAGGATATAAAACAGTGCAATATGACAGAATAAGGCAACTAATGAACAACACAACAGGATGATTACAGAATAAGAGAACAGTGCAAACAACGAACTGAAGCAAACTAAGGTTTTTGCATACAGAAATCAGATTACAAGGCAAAAACAATGCAGTAGGAGGAGGTCTTGTCCATTTGCTGTATTGTTTGTAGTATACCTTGGTCTTAGCTTGTAAATAAAAGGCACAGGGTACTCTTTCTTGCAGACAACAACAACAACAAAAATTCAGAAGGAAGGAACTTGGTACACTAAGGAGATGGCCTGCTGAGCCACTGGCAGGTGCATGGCCTGGAAATGTATACAACTGCTGCCCTTCAAGCACCAGAAAGCTAGATCAGGTCAAAACACAATGGGTGCCATCACAGAACTTCGCATTTGCTTAAAACGTCGGGAGATAGTGCGTCCCCTCCCCCCCTCCGTTTATACGCTTGTAGTGGAGGGACTTCACTTCTAGGCTTTAGTATCTCGTTTCAACGACAACTCACTCATCAATCCTTGAATCGATCCACCAGGTCCTAAGACGGCCCCTGGGATCACGCCAAGCAGAAAAAAATCGCTAAACCTCCAAATGCTTGTTCCGGTGGTCGCTTCTAATCCAATACTGGGAATCAGGGCAGGACCTTCAGGGCAGAGAGTAGCCCCCCTGTACCAGCTACTGGCTGGAGGTAGGGCTCTCCAAAGCCCCCTGGCTAGAAGCCCATTACTTATGGGCTTCATGGGGGAGCGTGCACAATCACGCTCCCTCCTAATCCCTGATTCATGGCACACGTCTCTCGGAAGACCCCAGACACGCCGCCATCGTTCAAAGCGCCAAAAACGGAAGTCTTCCCCCCCCCCCCATTTCTTGATAGCCACAGAAGCGGAGCTAGGCTCAAGCATCCTGCTGGAGCTGCAGGGCTATCAAAACTGGAAGGGCAACCTCACTCTGCCCCAGGACAGTCATACAAAAATTTGCACATCCCTGCCTAGAGCAAGAAAAGGCGTGACCTAACCAGTGTGGATGATTGAGAAGCTGCGAGGAGTCATAATATTTCTGAAGCTATGGCAGTAACAAGGAATTATTACAGAAGTCAAAGGTCAGTTGAACATAGATAAGACTGACATTCACTGGACTGGTACCCTAAATATTGTAGAACATACAGGAATATGCACTCACCTGGATAGCCCAGGCTAGACAAATCTTATCAGGTCTCGGAAGCTAATCAGGGTCAGCCCTGATTAGTACTTGGATGGGAGACCAAAAAGGAAGTCCAGCATCGCTCTGCAGAGGCAGGCAATGGCAAACCAGTCGTGAAAACCCCTTGCCTTGAAAACCCTCAAGGTCATCCTAAATCAGCTGTGACTTAATGGCAAAAGGGGTAGCATAGTGTTCAGAGATCAACCACATTGAATATTGCCACTACAGTATCAGGCAAATTTGGCAATTTAAAAGTGATAGTTCTATTTCTCAGGTGATTATCCACAGGAATTGTGAGAAAGAATACTTGTACGGACTACTGATTTACTGACTCATAAGTGACTTCCAATGTGTTGAAGAAACTACCTGCACCAATGTAAGAGAAACAAAAATTATAACCTCAAAGTGTGGCCAAATCTCAGTGTGTACCTCTTGTTCCCTCATGTAGTCCTCCTGGTCGTATTCTTCTTCATCGTGTTGCATCTGCAAAGCTGCACTGTCAAAGTCAAGTGACATTTTTCACCAAAACGTTTCTTGTTGCACCTGGGGGGGGGGGGGGGGACAAAACAAAACACACACAAATTACTATGTTCCACTTACAGTCATTCCCATAAATAGAGCTTTACCAGCAAAAAAATCTGTCGCATCTAGTCCTTTCTCCAAAGAACTCAAGGCACTGCATGCAGTCCTTCCCACCTCCATTGTACCCTCATTAACAGCCCTCTGAGGCTGATTAGGCTGAGAGACTGTATGGCGCAATGCTAACCAGGGAACATCATTGCTAAGTGTGGATCTTTCTAAACAAACATGAAAATCAGACCAAAAAGATAAAAGATTTGATTGACTGCACATATACATGTTCAGGCATGTGCTTAATCAATCAGCTGAACTATTTTTAAGTTACTGGCAAAGATCTGTGCTCCTGCAGTTCAGCGCATGTCTCCATAGGAGTACATATGATTGTGGGTAAAGACTTTGGTACTGTAATCTGATGGACATGGCTCCAATGAGTTATATACCAGAGAGTACAATGTTTTGTTCCTAAAGGAGCAGCCCAAACTCCCTAACAACCACAGAATTTATTTTCTGTTCTTTTAACATTTACCTCAGCCCTTCCTAGTATGATTATTCTTTTGCCTTCTCTCCTCTGCCTTCTATGGATTGTATGAAACCCAAACAGTACTTGGTGAAATAGATTTATATTGCTTCACAGATCTATAGATTTACTGCAGCCTCTTGAATTCTTTGCTCTAAACCCTGCCAGCTACGAGTCTGAGAGTGTTAACAGAAGATATTTTCATTTTATATTTGCTCTGAATACCAAAACCTGAACAGGTCAACATCTTGCATACATTTTTAATCATTAGGTCCTTTAAAAGATGTATTCTTATCTACAATATTTAAGAAATAAAACGAGCAGTACTTACGACAGCAACTGAGGTTAAGCACAGCTCCCTGCTGAATATATGTAGTACACATTTCTCATATACATATATTAGGTGCCTGGATGTATATATGATTTAAAATAAACCTCTCCCACTTTTCTCTTAAAAGGGAACTCAAAGTGGTTCATGGAGAAAGAACAATGATTTACAAAAATCAAAGTAAGCTGTTTAAAGCAGGAGGTGTCCCTTATAAAGTGGAAGGGAGCCAAGTAGTACTGAATAGCAAACAACATGCCAAAGCAGAAGCATGGTTAATAGTGGGACCTGAAGTCTCTGCCTTGAGTCCCATTTAGAAATACATGAAATCAATAAATAAATATAAGCTGGAAACCGCAGGGGGGGAAACCCTTAAAAGACGACCAAAGCATTTGGAGAGCCTAAGAGGCCAAAAAACCAAGTCAAAAGGGTTGCAGCTTTGATCTCGGAAAACTTTCAGGCAGTTGATTTTTCAGTATTGCTTCACTGGATGCGTTCATCTTACTGTTCCCTAGTTTTGCAATCCGGTTTTCACTACATTTATTGTATATATTTATACTTGTACGCATTAAACTATCTTTATTGCATATATTGCATATAAAAATGGTTCATCCAAGTCTGTAATCCACCCTGAGTCTGAGGGACAAAGGCGGACAAATAAGGGAAATAAAGGAGAAGTGAAATGTTAAACCACACACGGAGAGAACGGGCTACTGCAGCCAGAGCAGGTCAAAGAATTGCGCAGACCCCGGTGATATTCACCACAGCGAGGCAAGAGAGGCAAGACGTTTCAGAAGCGTCCAGTAACCCAGAAAGCAAACCAGCCAAGGCAGGAAACCTGCAGGCGCGCGGGGTCCCCAAGGGTCGCCGGGCGAGCGCAAGGCCCGAAACGCCCCATTTCCATGGCAACTCCCAACAGCCGCCCACGCGAAGCCCCCCAACGTGACCGGCCCACCCCCCCCCCCACAGAGATAAAGCCCCCCCACCCGTCCAGCTGCCCCATTCAGATCGCCTCACCTTTCCTCTCGCACCCCTTTTCTGCCTTCCCTGTGACGACCGAGTTTTCCTTTTTTTGAGGACTCACCTTTGAGTAAAGGGGGGGATAAAGAGCCAATCAGCAGAGAGATCCTCCTGACGGATGTATGCTCACGCGAATTGAAGAACTCGATGAAGGGGTGGGCCGGACGGGTTGGGCGTCTACTTTTACAAGTTCGGTTGCACTTCGCGTTGTTTTCTATCTCTTTCCTCCTCCCCTCATTTCTGTTTCAAAGCTGGCGCGGAAGGCGGCGGGAAGAGACTCCTTTCGGAGACTGGCTGGGAGACTTTACCCAATCAAATGAAAAACAGGCGGGCCAATGGCCACTCGTCCAATATGCACGCTTCCTGCTGCCAAGGGATGCTTTGATTGGTTAATGTTGAACAAACGGGAGCCATATGGTAGTTTAAAGACTAATTTGGGGAGGAGAAATAATTTAAGGTTTTGTCAACTAGAACTAGGGATGCCAGCCTACAGATGGAGGTCCCCTGGAATTACAATTCATCTCCAGACTACAGAGATCAGTTCCCCTGGAGAAGGAGAGGGTAGACGCTGTCTCCATAATCTTGCTGAACTGGTAAATTACAAGTTACTTTTGCTGCAACTAACTAAGCTGCTCTTCTGGAACTGAAATTTAATATAGGTTTTATCTGCCATGTGGTGTTGGCGGAGAAATTATGAGACTTCTTCACATCAGCTTTCAAGTATAAATTTACAAAACAGCATGAAACAAATTTTATGAAGCAGAGTGTGACTTAGGCCAGTCTCTCTCTTGCAATCTATCCCACCTGTTTGTTTGAATGATGATGATAAAGGAGAGGGGACAACAATGAAATGCTTTAATCTAAACTAATAAGATGGTTGGGTAGTTCGCTTTTGAAAAATATCCTTGGGATTTTAAAGTTAAGAATTGATGCATTCGGGATATTTGATACTGGTGGTATAAGAACCTTTTAAAATGAAAACTACTTTGGATTCGTTGTGAGATTAAGAATGAGGGTTCAAGAAAGGAATGAATTAACAAATGACTCACTGGGTTTGAACATGGAGTTTCCCTATATCTATTCTATTGTGTTGGCAGCTGCTGTAGTACTTACCAGAACCACGTTGGGGACCCCTGCTGTAGGTGATATGTTCTTTTGTGTATGAAGATTTAATATCTCATCTCTTTATAGCATGTCACACCACTTACACATCCTGACAAGCGCTTTGACTATCTCTGGCTTGTCTAAACGCCCACCAGAAAGTAGTTTCTGCTACTTCCAAGGACTGTCATTCCACCCTCTGACCTGTCATTCCAGTCCCTAAACACATCTGCTACTCCCAGGGAGTGTCATTCCACTGTGCAGCCTGTCACTTGAGTTCCAGAACACATGTGCTACTCCTAGGGACTGTCATTCCACCATGGATGGCTGTCATTCCAGTCCCAGAACACATCTGCTATGCACAGGGGCTGTCATTCCATTCAGGGAGCTGTCATTTCAGTACCAGAATACATCTTCTACCTCCAGGGACTATTATTCCAGCTCTACACCCAGGAGCCCATCTCCTACACCCAGGGGCACGAAGAGGACACCAGCCGGGAGCCCCCCGCTCCCGGCCAATTTCGATTTGGCAACCCTGCTTATCTTCCATACCACCTCTGTTACAAATTTTGGCCTCATTCCATAAAATATCAGGGTTAAAGATTAATGATTCCAAATCTCAAATATTACCTATTCACATTGAAGCAAAAGTTCAAGAAATTTTAAAGAGCAAATTCCATTTTAGCTGGGTTACTTTGCATCTTAACTATCTAGGGATTAATGTTCCCTGTGATTTATCACAATTACTTCAGGTAAATCACCACAATGTCCATAATGATTTACGCGACGATATTATCAAATAAAGCAAACTGAACCTTCCATAGATCGAACTGTTTCACCTTGTTAAATCCTTTATATTACCCAAATTCTATTCTTATTCAGGGCTATACCCATCAACATTCCCCTCAACATTCTAAGAAATTGGCAGACAACTTTAAGGAATTTTCTTTGGGACAGGAAGAAACCAAGGGTGGGTCATCAAACTCTGAGAAAGGGGTAAACACCAAGGTGGTTATGACCTACCTGATCTTCTTTGCTATTATAAAGCTACCTTACTGGCCAATGTTATCAAGATTTTACGTCCAAACTCTACTCCTGAATGGGACTCACTGTGCTCAGATCAACTTACCTCCCCCTCATTAGACGGATTGATTTGAGATAAAACCCCATTATATCTCACTGAAGGAGCTGCAGTGGCTCAAGTGGTTAAGACGCTGAACTGCAGGGTGTGGAAGGTCGGTAGTTCAGCCGTTCAAGACCCGGGTGTGCTGCATGACGGAGTGAGCTCCCATCTCTAGTTCCAGCTCCTGCCAACCTAGCAGTTCGAAAGCAAGAAATTGCAAGTAGATAAATAGGTACCACTTCAGTGGGAAGGTAACAGCATTCCGTGCACCTTGGTGTTTAGTCATGCCGGCCACATGACCACATAAACGTCTTCGGACAGTGCTGGCTCTTCGGCTTTGAAACAGAGATGAGCACTGCAGCCCTAGAGTCGGATTCGACTGGCTTTCGAGCAAGGGAACCTTTACCTTTATCTCACTGAAGTGAGAGACAATATTTTTCTCTACCCTTCCATACACTTACAGAGATCCTTCAGCAAGAAATTTCTCCCAGAAGTATCCAGATATACTACTTTCACACATCAACCATGGTTTTCCAATCATGTTCGACCAAAAGTCCAATCCAAATGGAAAGAAATGAACCTATCCCGCTACTGTGATATCGCTGACAAAAATGGAATACATCCTAAGAATGTGCTAGAACGTAAACTAGGTCTCCTCATCCCCTGGTTCTTATACCTCCAACTTCAACATATAGTGAACATAAAAAAACTGGAACCATTATATCTTACCCTCACACAGAGTTGGAGGTCATGATTAAACTATTCAATACACAGAATAGAGGCATGGTCTCGGCTATATACAAATTATTCTTAAAGGACTCAGGGCCCAAAACTCTACCATACCAAGTAGCCTGGCAACATGATTGCATTACTACATTAGATGACGAAAGTACGTTAGATGCCAGAATCCCCTTGGTATCAAATTTTAATACAAAGTGGTTCCCTGTTTTAGAATTCCTATCATCAGCAGAATTTATCTCACCTTCATGGAAAAATTATGTCCAATGGATCTGATACTAATCTAAACAAAAAACAGACTAGTCAACTGACTTATTTTGTAATCTCCTACACTCTAATGTTAATTTTGGATATTGTTTTGGTTACTCAATCTGGTAAAGACAGGTTGCTTACCTGTAACTGGTGATCTTCGAGTGGTCATCTGTGCATTCACACC